CCGTCGAAATCGATCAGATTCTTACGGCTCCGATTTCGTCCTGGTTGGGTGAATTCTCATATCCAGTGGCTCAACCTCTCGTTAAGGATTAAAGGGTTGCAATAATGGTTCCGATAGAGAAAAGCGCAGCAAAATCAGTGAAAAAGAAATTGAAGATGGAAGGAGCCAGAAAAAGGATGCTTTCAATTATGGAAGAGAATGGAGAATTATTGGAGGTATTGGTGTTGAAATCCATGCGAGTACACGTTTCCTTCTCTAATTGCCATTTGTTATGATTAGGTAGAGCTAACTGAATCCTAAGTATGTTTACACGAAAGAGGGAGAGCCATTGACAAAGGAGGAGAGCTTGAAGACAACAAGGCAATGGAATATCGGTAAACCTCAATACTTTTTTTGTTGAATTTGCTTAAACTTTAGGTATAGTATTGGTGGAAGCTAAGACATTGCTGTTTTGTTGAATTTGCTTGGTTCACAAGATCACTAGTTCTTCCCAATGATAAAATTTCTTGGCTAATGTTTTCTAAGATTAAATGCAAGGAGTTTGTACACTCGAGTGCCAACAATTAGAGGTTTCTTCCAATTGGTATCATTAGAAATTGACTTATTAAAAATTGACTTAACAAGAATTATTAAATACAATCGTTTCTTTTTGTTTTTCTATGGTAAAGTTAGCATTTGAAGAAGATTACTATTGCTACTAAAAGATCACCAAATCTCTTGTTTGTGTCATTTTACATTAGATATAAGAGCAAATTGTATTTTATGAATGTTCTTTTAATTTGTAAATCTTTGAATATGTACAACTAAAATAATCACATGTATTGGTTTATGATGATGCAGACATAGAGAGAAGCAAAGCAAGATGATCGTGTGCATATGTTTATAAAGATCGAAGTCATGATCTTCTTTTCACCGCTTCGGCATCATGGATTCTTGATCTAGCTGGGAGATATTTTGTTTGTGTTGTAGGATTTTGAGTTTGAAGAGGTAAATGAAATTTTCAGATGAAAAAGTTTTATTCCAAGGATGAAGAAGAAATGCCATCCTTCAAAATTATTTGACGCTTGGGGTTTTATGTACAATCATATCTATCCTCTATAATTATGTTTTATGCACAACTCGGTCACTTATTACAATTGGTTCGGTCCTATTTTGTAATGTTGAACTCATGTTTTGTACTGATGGTTTTTTTGGTACTTGAGATTATTTAGTAATGATAGTTTTTATATGTATGGCTATAACCTTAACTTGAATTATAGTACAACTAGTATAACTACTAAATTAATTTGAATTCTAGTACTACTGGTATAACTACTAAATTTATTAAAAATTAATAAAAAGGTATTATATTTAATACATGTGTCGTCAAATGAATTAAAAAATATTAAAATTTTACTAATAGTTATATTTAATTTTCAGTAGTATCGTTTTACACATAGTTATATTTTGATACTTTTCACGTATTATTAGTCATACATAGGTAAACTGATAATTTTTCTAGTAGTATTTATTCAATTGATCCATTTAAACATATTTATTGTAGTTTCGTATATTAAAAAAGTTTGAAAACTCCATGTTTGTTTGTTTGACATAACAATGAGCGCTTCTACTCATACATTAACATATGTATAATGTATAGTTTTAGTAAAAAAACTATGTTTTACTATAAAATCACTATTTATATTCATATGTATCTAGTGGTACCCAAGTATCAAGTAGACACAAATGTACGAATAAGTAAAAGGTACAAAACTTAACTAAAAAGTAACGAAAACGTAGATGGAAAGAACAAACAAAATAAGCAACACAATCATATGTAGTCATACTAGACAGAGAGAACATACAAAATAAGTCTCACATTTATACGTAGTAAAACATAGTAATACCAAACATAGACAATTATAAAAATAAAAGCACACAATCATACTTAGTTATACTCAGTTATACCTGACAGAGACACCATTTGAATCTAGTTGGAATCCTGCACATTCGGTTTACCAGCTAAGTAGTCATTCATATATAAACATATTTAAAAACACCATGTTTGTTTGGTTGGCATTACAATGAAGCTTGTGAATACACCTTAACCATATGTGTATAAA